GGGAGTGAGAAGGGACCTAGAAAAGCGCCTCAAAGCCCTCGCCGAAAAAAACCTCCCGCTTCAAGTGTGTACACCTTCAGCAAAGAACTCTCATTTCCAACTTCACTACACATTAACGCGTTGAATGTGTGACCTGAATACGAGAAACTGATCGTCCTCAATTACATAATTGGTATCGTTCCGATTTCACATTCGGTGTTATTCAAAGAATACAACGATCAGCTTGTCGGATGTGTAAGAACAGACTGATCTGAAGATTCATTCCATGAAATGAAGAGTTTTTTATATGAAGATTCATCTTCGCAAATGACTTTTTCTCTGGGTTGAAGAAAAACAATTCACTTTGCTAATATCATCTTGAACCTCAAAAAATATTATCGGCTGCAAAAACGGAGCACAGACGTGGTTTTCTGATATGAAGTTAGTGGATGATATTCTCTAGAATCAATTTCTTATGTTTTTTCCTCAAGTGGTGGTGGCAGGTGGGTCTCAAATGAATTGAAAATTACGATTCCCAAATGAAGATCCATGCTCATCAATATGCTATGATCACAACGTACATTATGTTCAGGCGGTTAGTGCTTTCTAATCTTCTCGATAATTAGGTAATTTTTACATCCAATACGTAGAGCATGACTTCTGGTAACTGAAAAGTAAAAATTTTTTGAGGAACTACTTGGAAACATCATTAAAAATTCGCACTTCGTTCTGCAGGATGACTATATAGAAGATCTGTACCCTCCAATGTTCTGGACGGCTTGAAAGGTTTCATTTTCATTTTGGAGAGTATGATTTCTGGCTTAAAAAGTTTTGTAGAGTAATCTTCTTTGGAAGACTTTTTTTTAAAGCACTGAAAAGCATCAACTCGATGTAATCCCATCGACTCTTCAAAGTGAAATGTGAGTATTCTAACTGAATAATGACGAAACAGTTCAAGTATCAATACAAAAACTCGTTCACTTGTAATTATTCAAATAAGCAATACATCGTATTCCTTCTTTTACCGCCTAATAAGTGAAATAAACCGAATTCTCGTCTCCCTTTGAAACAACGTCATCAATGTAACAAATAAACATCATGAGCATTTGGCGAATTCAAGCTTTAATCGAGTGATGCCCAAGCTCTTGCGCTCAAGCATTTTTTCGTTTCCTATACTGCGTTTCTACCAAAAAATCTTACTGCTAAGAATTTGTCGGTGCTATCAACAGGATCATTTCTTTGTGATCAAAAAGCACTTCGTTAACATCACTGAACAATCATGGAAGAATCATGAAGCAAAATTGACCAGTGACTAATAACCCTCCCCAACCCCTCCAAATTGCCCCCTTCTATGCGAACCAGTTTTTAATCACCTCAAAGTAAATAAACATAAATCGCCATCAGCAATCAAATTTGACGACATAGCCATGGCGAAATGAGTCACTTGGCGGAACATCCGTTTACTTAGTTCGTAAAGAAATTTTAAATTCTATAGTAATTAGGAGGCTTGTGAGGGTGAAATGGTTCCGTGACTAACTTTATTTGTTTACAAGTGACTTATGTTCGTTTTTTTTTAAATTTGTGGACATTGTGGTCATTTGCGTTATAGGCACAGCAATGTTCTCATCGAAGATGAGGACACAGTGATATTTCGCCCAACTATCTGAGAAATAGTCATTCCATGTGCAATCTGCTCGTGTTACAGTCAGAATTAACGAAATGCATCTGACCAAAGCGTTATAAGCGCATATGCCCACAATATCGAAGGACAACACAAGTGATCAGTGCAAACATTTTACCCTTGATGGGTTGATAGCTTTGATAATTTATCTGCACTTGCTTTCGTTTGATTGTAATCTGTAATTATTTCTAGTTACCGTGATCCTCCTCATAAATGCACACATATTCATGAGAGGTGTTCATAAGCAAACTTCTCCGTCTCATATACGATAAGTCATTTCTCGATTCCCTTCTGGGTATCCTAATCTTTGTAAAAGCTGCAAATTTCATGCGAGTGTCACATTAGATGCGACGCAGATATTAACTCCATATTTTGAAATGTTAAATGGTCTCTATCGCATGAAGGCACTATGATTCCCAAATGTTACATCCTGATGTCGAAAAGCCGATGAACGCATTTGTCCCATATCATCCGGTGAGCAACTAGTCCATCTGTTCTGTTCTGTCTGATAGATCAGTTTCGTTCACGAAGCGACTCCTTCTTGATATGAATTAAAATATTTCCGAAGACGTGATGGCATGGATAAGTTTCCTATCTCTTCTCCATCTCACAAAAACCATATGGATTCATCTCTGGCAATGAGGATAGGCTCAAAATAAATAGTTGTAAGAAAAGGAAATGTGGTATATAAGAAGGGCCAATGCTTTTTTGTTGTCAGTGGGTTCAACAGATCCAGTCACCTCATGGATAACCAAAACATGCACTAAGTGTTCACAGAGTGAAATCATATTGCTTCACTTTTCTCCATCGAAAGTGAGTCGTAATTTTTTTTAATGGCATGAACTTTTGTAATGGTGTGAACGAAGCTCGTAAAAAATTCTTGGAGGAATTGATAGATTTACTCGTATTGTCACGCATGTAATCCTCAGTAATTCATGTAACCTCAGTTATTCATGTATTCATGTAACTCATGTTATCGTATTCCGGCCACAATAATGGGAATAGGAATAGAAGTAGTAATGATAATGATAGTAGTAGCAGCGATAATGATAAAAATATGGTGGTAGTAATGGTGCCTTGAATGACCAAATTAATGCGTAGAAAAGTATTTTTGCAGAACGTCCTGACGTAATAAGTTAGCTGTAGCCACGCATATTCAATTAGAATAAGAGTATCAGTGGACATAATGCGGCTGAAGCTCAGTGTTGCATGGAAACGTTGTGCAATATCACTTCTCTATGCATTAAATTGCTCACCATTATTACTGTCACGTTTATGAGCATTGTCACCTCTATTTGGTGTTCTCGTTTTAATTATTACCATCACATTTCGTACGTGCTTATCTCAGAGCTAATGCACTGTTGTATTTCGGTCATTGTAGTTCGCATTTTCAGCGTGAATTATTGGAGAAAAACTCGAGTGAGCGATCAGGAGAGTAATGGTCGGTAGAAATACGACGAACAAAAATGCACCGTCGTATTTATTCGATGCCTCACAAGAGCAGTATCTGACTCCACCTCTACAACCACTACCAAATACGTCTCCAACTCCAACGTATGATTCTTTTCCATTTCATTTATTCTCTTAAAATTTCTCTTTATTTATCTCATCTGCTGTTGCTTTTGATAAAATCTATAATGAATAAACTTGCGTAATATTGTCGGTGCTGATTGTTTAGTTTAGAATTCTTTTAAAAAGCATGAATATTAACGTTTCCATTTTTTAATTGCAACGACAACATATATAATAATCGTTGTAATAACGATAATAATAAAGTAATTATGGTTTTAACGTCAATGATTATTCTGAGAAGGTCATTTTTGGTAATTGCGATCGCCATATTTCGTGTTCGTTTTGTCTTTGATATTCAATGCATTTGTTTTCAGACGTGTAAATGTTGGTGAGATGAGCACTCCGTTGGGCAATTTAAGTGAGCGAATGACGAGTGCTTTGGATCAGACACAAGTGGATGCACTCATAAAGCGTTATTTGGACAATGGTCAGTTCAAAACAGCAATGTTTTGGGCCGATAAACGTCTCGTGTTAAGTCGAAAGAAAGATCGACCGTTATCGTTGGTTGATGTTGCTGAGTTCATCAAGGTAATCTCTTTTGAACTTTCGTTGATACCACGTCTTTATTTGATAGTGTTCTCTTTGTAGAATTAAATTAACGTAAAAACAATACTCATTGCATAATTAAGTAAATTCCTGTGGTAGAATTCGTTTCACAGTTTACATTTATTCGTTACTTTTTTGAGTTGTTCTCTTCCTTAGTTTAAAACTGTTTTATAGTGGTGAGTAGACAAATGATTTCGGTGAAATTCTATTCGGAAAATATATTTGTTGCTGTTTGCTTATGCTGTATGCATACTTTAGGTGTTATCAGCGGTTGGTGATTATACGAGGTTAATTGAATACTCACAAAAACATGAACTTGTTTTGAAGCATTTAGTTTTCGCATATTTCTATGTGAATGCTCTCTTTGAGAAGAAATATTTCGCCACAATTCTCAAACTTGAACTNATTCGCATCAGTTGAATTTGCATTTTTAATGTGCAAAAATTAGTATTTCAGAAAGGTTTTAATTTTCCAACAGAACCGGTGGTACCGTTTATGGCGTATCTGTATAAAACGAAATCATTCCTTCCGAGTGAGGAAGAATCTCGAATTTTGGATAAAATGTCTTCTGATCTAAAGGTATTAATTGGAGGAATTTAGTTTCTTTCAGTTATTTATTTAATTCATTGTTCTCTTGAACATTCGTTAATTGGTGATTGTGAATGAGGAATAAAGATCCTGAACGTGATAATAATCTTTCAGTGATTACCCAACTTCTAATTTTAGTTGGAGGCAGCGTTGTTGATTTTGTTGGGGAAAACGTATTTGATGACACAAAATCGACAGTCAGCGCGTTTGTGTTTACAAAGTGCTTTAAAGAAGGATTGTTGTGCTGTTGAGGCGATGGAAATTATTCACAAATACGACTTGTTACCAAAACGGAATTTTGATGAAATTATCGATAGGTGCGTTCCGTTTTAATTTCATCGACATGTTCACAAATATATTCCGCAGTCAGTTGATCTTTTGAATAGTAATCAGTCATTAATTTATGTAACTGTTTGTTCGAAAGAAAGAAGTTAATGAATGACATCGTATCATTATTGCAGGTTTCCATATGGGGAATGTGGTATTCCGAATGCATTGGTGCACTTCCCCATTATGGACGGTCGAAAGGAGATAAAAAATGTGAGTTTATTC